TCTCAGACCATAATGCCATAAAACTAGAAATTAACCACAGGAGCGTAAATTTTACAAAACCACTCATGTGGAAACTAAATAACTCTCTATTATAACATGACTGGGTTATGAAAGAAATAAAGAATGAAATAAAAATGTTCCTTGAAACAAATAAAAATGAAAAGACAGCATATCAAAACCTCTGGGATACAACTAAGACAGTCTTTGGTGGGGGGCAGCAGCATTTTATAGCAATAGGCACACACACAAAGGAAGAAGAAAGAAAAATCCATGATCTTATTGCAACACTTTCATCAAATAGAAAAGAACGACAATCTAATCCTATAGCATCTAGAAGAAAGGAAATTATAAGAACAAGATCTGAAATCAGTGAGATAGAAAACCAAAATTACTGAAACAATCAATAAGACCAGGAGTTGGTTTTTCAAAAGGGTCAATAAAATTTACAAACCACGGGCAAATGTAACAAAAGAGAATTTAAAAAAATATATAAAAGAACCAAATAACACGATTAAAAAATGGTAGCAGAAACAGAACCAAATGGAATTAAATTTATACTATTGGAATACTATGAAAAGTTATACTCTGGTAAATTTAAAAACCTTGAGGAAATGGACAAATTTCTTGAAATGCATACCCTACCCATATTGTCAAGGACAGATATAGAGCAGTTGAAAAGACTCATCACAAAAGAAGAAATTAAACAGGTAATTTTTTTAATAAAAGAAAACAAAAACAAAAATACCCTCTACAACTTCCCCATAAAAAACGTCCTGGACCAGATGGCTTCTACCAAACATTTAGAGAAAATGTATCACCAATTTTACATAAAGTATTTTTAAAAAATTGAAAAAGAAGGAACATTCCCAGAGTCATTCTATGAACCAAGCACAACCCTAACACAAAAACAGGTAAAGATATTACCAAGAATGAAAACTACAGACCAATATCTCTCATGAATATAGATGCAAAAATCCTTAACAAAATTCTATCCAATAGAATCCAAAAGCACATTAAAAAAAAAGCTCATCATGACTGAGTGGGATTCATAACAGGTATGAAAGGATGGTTCAGCATAAGAAAAAGAATCAATGTAATTCACCATATTAACAAAGCAAATAACAAGAGCCATATGATGTTAACAACTGATGCAGAAAAGGCATTTACAAAACCCAACCCCTTTCTTTAGACACACAACAAAGTTGGAATAGAAGGGAATTTCCTCTTCATAGGGAAAAGTGTATATGCAAAACCAGGAGCCAATATCAATCTCAAGGGAGAAAGACTAAAAACATTTTTCTTGTGAACAGGGACCAGACAAGGATGCAGATGGTCACCACTTCTATTCAATATTGTCTTGGAATTGCTTGCTAAAGCAATATTACAAGAGAAGGAAATAAAAGGCATCCAGATTGACAAAGAGATGGTTAAGCTATTGTTATATACTGATGATGTGATAGTGTATAAAGAAACCCCAAAACAATCAACCATAAAACCTGGTAGAGCTAGAAGACCAATTTAGTAGAGTGGCACAATGCAAGATCTATATCCAAAAATCAGTGGGTTTCTTCTACAGTAGCAAAGATAACTCAGAGAAGGAAACCAAGAAAGCAATATCATTTATAATTGCCAATCACAAATTGAAATACTTGGAAATGAACCTAACTAGAGACACAAAAGACCTGTACCAAAAGAACCCCCAAACCAAACCAAACCAACCAACCAAACAAACAAAAACCCTACAGAACATTTCTGCAAGACACAAAAGAAGACATAAATAAATGGGGAAATGTGCCCTGCTCATGGATAGGGAAACTCAATATTGTGAAAATGACAACCCTACCAATTCAATGCAATCCAAATACAAATCCCAAATTCATTTTTTAAGATGACTGAAAGGGAGACTGTAAAGTTTATTTGGAGTGGAAAGAGATCTCCAAATAAGAAAGTATTTCTGAAAAACAAAAATGAAGTGAGGGGCATAGCACTCCCTCACCTCAAAACCTACTAGAGTGGTAGTAACCAAAACAGCATGGTACTGGTACAATGACAAATGCATAGACCAATGGAATAGCATATAAAACCTGGAAATACCCAGTTAACTATGGTCAGCTGATATTCAACATGGAAACAGAACTTATCAAATGAGGAAATGACAACCTCTGGAAGACATTATGCTGAGTAAAAATCTCAGTCACAAAGAGACAAATATTATATGGTGCCACTGTTATAGAATGAGGCTGACATTGGGGTGAGGGTAAGACCGAGAAAAATGGATAAATTATGTTTACTGCATTGAAAAAAAATAGTTGCCTAATATATGTATTTAAAAAAATTGCTGCAATTTAAATTGCATATGAGTAATTAATGTTCTGTTCCACAATCAGCCTCAATGCTTGTTTAAACAGCTGATAATGAGTTCTGTATTGTCTCTTTCTATAGATAAAACCAATTTGATACTTGTATATTCCTTTAGGGATATATCCATGTATATAATTGTCATTTATGTTATTCTGATTTTCTGTAAAGAGGTATGAGCAATGAATAAACTATTGATTGGGGGAAAAAAAGAGTTAAAAGCAGCAAAAAGAAAATAAAATAAAAGCCACTAAAAGAAAGATAAGGGTATTAGCTTGGAAGGGAGTCCATGGGTGGTGCAAAAGGTTGTGAACTGAAATCCGGGAGTCCAAGTCTATTCAGACATACCTGGAACTCTACTTCATAAATACCAGCCACTAAAAACTCTGTAGAGATAGTCCTATTCTGATACATATGGAGTCACTATGAGCTAGAAGCCAAAGACAAGTGGTGAAGCCTTGGGGGATACAGGGGCAGGGGAAGACTCCTACATGCAGAATACAATGAGAAAGTGAATCTCTAATTCTTAAATCTTTATTCCTGTAATAAAAACAATAAACCTTAAGTCTTTTAAGCTGGAACTTTACAGGAGATGCAAACAAACGAAATGTTTCTGCAGATGGATTTAAAAATTCCATCAGGTAGAAGTTTTCTTTCTTGTTCTAAAACTACCTAACTCATACCCCCAAACACTGCATTATAATGCACCAATGCTATGTCAAAGAGAATTCTCTAATCCTCAACTTAGAGAGGCTAAATCTCTCTTAGCCCTTGGAATGTAATTACCATTAAGTTTGAAAAACGAGGGCGATGAACAGTAGTGGCAGGTTTTTTCAAGTTTGCATAAACACTGGCAACAGGGAGACAGCTGGAACATTGGAATCAAAGCACTCTTGTCACATCGGTGCTTTGAATCTCTAAGCAACTCCTTGAAGAGCTTCTGGCCTCTGTGAACACAGCCAACTGATAAAAGACTCCTCTAAGATCAATTTTATCTCCTTCCATAGCACAGACTGCCTCAGAGGTGCATTCTATCTAGGGAAATGCTTGGGAAGGGCCTTCAAACTATAAGACAAGGGTAAGCTTTTGGGTGGTTCCTGGAGGTGTACCCAGCTTGGAGTAAACTGTGAGGCTGCTCCTTTTGGCCTCTTCCTGGGTAGCAGTTGTATCTGATCTAATAATTTCCCAAAGCTACTAAAAAGAAGCAAGAAGGCTGCAAGCTATCTGTGGAGAGTGAGGATAAAAAAGGAGTATGAGTCTGTTTCTTTTGACTTAAAGAATCAAGAGAATTAAGGATAAGCAAAACTGGGGCCTAAGAAGAGGACTTCCTCAGCTCTTTTGCCCAGCTGGGGACTTCTGAAGTAAATTATTCTTTGAACAGCAAATACTTAATTGAGTCCAGCATCCCCTTAGGGCCTTATCTGGTGACATAGCCCTCTGACACTGCTCTTGAGCAGTTGTTATTGTTGTAAGCTGTTACTTTCAATTAGGAATCAAACCATATCTGCCCTCAAGCAGATCTTCACAGGCAGTAAATCACATGGAAGGAGAATTCTATCTTTCTCCCATAGAGAGCTAGTGGATTGGAACTGCCTGTTTTTGAGTTGGCAGCACATCTCCCTGCTATTAAGCCATCAGAGTGCCCTCTTAAGCACAGTTGTTGTTAGGTACTTCAAGTCGAGTATGCAACCTTATGCATAAGAGATCTGAACCCCATCCTATCCTATCCTATGCCAACCTAACAATTGCTTACACACTCCAGCCATTGCTGTGTCACTGTGTCAATCATCCTGGTTGACAGTCTTCCTCTCCTTAGCTATCTCACTGCCTTTACAAGCATGATCCTTCTTCAACATGCCCAAGGTACATGAGATGAAGCTTGGCCATCTTTGTTTCCAAGGAGCACTCTGGCTGCACCTTCGTCAAGACATCTGTTCTATTGGCAATCCGTGGAATATTCAGTACTACTCTCTAACTACAACTCAACAGTATCAATTTTTCTTCCATCATCTTTATTCATTATTCTGCTCTCAGCAGCATAGTAAGTGATTGAAAAGATCATAGTCTAAATGAAGCACACCTTAGTCCTCAAGCTAACATCATTTCTTCTCAGTAATTTGGAGAGGTCTCTGACTATAGACTTTTTTTAGTGCAATGTGTCTCCTGATCTCCTGTCTGCAGGTACCAAGTATATTGATTGTGAATCCAAGTTAAGATGAAGTCGTTGACATTTTCCATCTTTTCTCCACCTATTATGATGTTACTGTTTCTCCAGTGATGAGAATTTTTGCTTTATTGATGTTGATACAATATTGAAGGCTGCAGTGTACGTCCACACTTTTAGCAAACAAGGTTGTATAATTTACGTAATGAAAGTTATTGATGAGTGTTCCTCCAAACATGATGACATATTCTTCATAGTGTCCAGCTTCTCAAATAATTTGCTCAGCATATATATTGCAAAGTTTTGGTGAAAGGATACAAAATTGACTCATGTCTTTCTTAACTTTAAACCATGTGATCAAGAGGCAATGGTGGTTGGCTGAGCGGACGGCCGCCATCTTGTTCTTCTCGTGATTCCTGAGCTGAGCGAAAGAGGAAGCAGGGAGCGGGCGGCTGGGGGGACCCGCCGCGGGAAGGCGATGGCCAATATCGACAAACTCAACATTGACAGCACCATCCAACGGCTGCTGGAAGTGAGAGGGTCCAAGCCTGATAAGAACGTCCAGCTCCAGGAGAATGAAATCCGAGGCCTGTGCTTGAAGTCCCGCGAGAT